ACCGAATAATATGATGGTTGTCATGGTCGGATTCGTCTTGTCTTGTTTTGCTACTTCTATCCAGCAAATTGATGCTGTTATTGACCACAGGATACAGAACTTGGGTAGAGCGACTCAAATCTGTCTTCCAATCGAGATTAACGGTCGCGAGACCAACTTCCCTAGGCTCGGATGAAACGTGAGCCCAGTGGGAAGTTTCGTACAACACTAGAGTCGTTCTCTTTTTAGAAGCAATTGATATAATGGTGGCTGCTACCGACGCTTGTGACTGCCACTCTTTCCTCTTGTTCTTTCCGCTCCCCTCGAGGAGATCCGATCCTGCCACAGCACTCTGGTGCCGATACCAGAGATCACCAACAGACAACACAGCTGCTGCTATCAGCCGCAGTCAAAGCAGTGATGATATGATGGATACGGCCGTGCTATCAACCACAGCAGCCGCTGAAGCGATCTAATGCCGCAGCAGTGATCTAATGCCGCCGTCAACGGCAGACAACGCCGACGCCAAGCACAATCGACTCTGGGATGGAAGAGACAACTGATGCTACAACAGAATAGTCACTCTGTCCTTGTCTGTTCAACAAAACCGCTTTCGACACTCTACCAACAACAGGAACAACCTTGAAACCAAAGGCTGCATCAAACAAGATTGTGTCTCCCCAGCAAATCTCAATTTGGGAATGACCCTGTAGAACCCAGTACAATTTCTACTGGCAAAAATGTTCAACCACTGGCCGCTGTGTTGAGGCAAAATTCTAACAGACCAACCCCAGAGAAAAAGATGGGTTGGCGAATCTGCGTCTAATGATGCAGCATCCGCCGAGCATGTTGTCAGCTGTGGCGTCATTGCAATGGTCAGGTGCTTGCTTTGTGCAGTTGCCGCTGGTGTGGTTGTTGTTTGGTCCCAATCCGTGAGACCAACAATAGTACATGGGGATGCCGTTGCTTCCGGTCACTGATTTAGTCGCAGTTGGCATTTTGGTGGTTTGGTTCGTCACTTTGTTCGCATATCCGACTTCCTTCAGAGTGAGGATTCGGCGTCTTTCCTTGTCTGCAGCCGTGAATTTCGTTTCGAGGTTGGCCATGGTCTGTTCTGCTGTGATCGCAGAGGGCAGCAGTGAAAACTCCACTTTGGGTTAAGTTCTCGATGATGGCGCTGACTGCTCTTTTTTTCGGAGATATCATCATGGTCGCCGCCAAACTTCTGGGCGTCCTTGACTTGATTGTAGAGGTCTTCGATTGGTTGGGAAGGATTCCAGGTAGCGTTCATGCGTTTTTCGTTGTCCTTGATGTCATCGGCGTCCACTGTGCCGTATTCTGCATCTAAGTGGGCGAGGATTTCATGGGCGGTGACTTGTGCATAGCCGTACATCTTGTGTTTGAGTGTATTGGTGAAGGTGTTAGATACCGCTTCCAGCAACTGCTTCTTGAGCGCTGTTTCGGTTCCTCTGAAGATGAGAAATTGTTTTTCGTTTGCTGCAAAGAGCCTGTTAGTTTCTGCAATTTGAGCCGCTGTTGGTGCTGCGCCATGGACTGGTGCCTGTCCTGGGTGGGCTGGATTGGCCCATGCTTCGGTGTTGGGCAATGCATTGTATTGAGCTGCTGTGAGTACCAATGTAAGGTGTCTGTAGTGCCCTCCTCCAATGCCGGATGGGATTGTCATTGCATTAGCGTTGAGCTCCTGGTGGATGATTTTGAGGCTGTTGTAGGTGGGCTTTTCCTCTGGTGGGATGGCGGTGAGTGTTTCTGTGGTGAAGTGGTCGATTGCAACAAAGGATGTCATGGTGTTGGTTGACGGCAGCTATAGCTTTTGCTTTTGCTGTTGCTCTTCACATGATGTGTTGAGTTCGTCGTTCGATTCAGTTAGATTGTTAATAACTGTTGATCCAGGTGGAAAGAACCTAGGGAAGAATTGTTGATACAGATTAGTTATTAACAATCATGAGCAAGTTCTAGCTAGTTGTCCCCATACTGGAGCACACAGGCCCAGCTGGGGAGTGCCCTGGTTTCCAACAGCTTTTAACAGTTTGTGGGTCCTGCTTGGAAGCAGAGTGACCTTTTGGCAGGCTTGCTGGCATCTTGATTGTGATTAAGGACTGATCTGGTACCCAAGTGCGCCCTAGCTAAGCAGGGTTAAGGCTAAATACAGAAATCAGAGAAGGATTCAAGGCACAATTTGGATTAGAGTTACTGAGATGACTTGGTCACTCGCTTGGACTCTATCCAAAACAAGCCTCACAATATTTGTTTGTCAAGATCCATCTTGCCTGCTGCTTGATTGAGTCAGCATAGACATGGGTTGAGCTATCTGGCACTGATCAGCCTGAAAGCACATCCCATGTCCTCTGCAGAAGTTTTCTTTCGTCCGTCTCGCCGCCTCTCCTCCGCCCGCTTTTCTGTATATCTTTCATTTCAACGCCATGAAATCGCTCTTTTTTCCTCAACTCTTTTGCTGGGTTGCTCTGCCTCCACCCACCTCCGGTCCGTACTCAGCTCACTATTCTTTTTTACGTGGGGGGTTTTAATAGACTTCCTCAGTAGAAAGATAAACACCATGGGTGTAGTGCCCCATTCTGGATCAACAACAAGCCGTCGCTAGCTTGAAAGTGGTCAAGACCACGTGTGGTCGGAAGTGAAAGAGTTGATACGGAAGAGATACGATAAAAGCAATATGAAAGATTCCAGATCCTTTGATAGCCGCGGCTCTGATCCGCTGGCTGTTGAAACTGTGGGCAGCGAAACTGAGTTTGACTTGGGTGGCGTGAACCTCAATCCTCCTCCTCCTCTTGAAGATGAGAGAGTTGGCGATGCGGTTCTGTCCTCGGTTCCAAAGAGGAGCATCCATCAATGAAGGTCGCGCGGGACGCCCCTCTACTGGCACTCTGAGTGGAGAGGAAGCAGCAGATAAGCAAGGCATCTTGGCGAGGATTGTTGTCGTTGGCAGTACTTTTGGAGACCTCCATTGCGGTGGCATCATAGGAGGAATTAAGGGTGGCAAGATCTGCTTGAGCGGGGCGTGTCGAATTGCCTCTCACAAAACCCACAGATTCAAGGTCAGGCTCGATGACACCTTCATTGGGTTCGTGAAAGACAAAGACAAGAAGAAGCACTTTGCCTGGGTCGAACCCACAGTTAACTTATCGCAATGTCCAACGGAAGTGTATCTGATCAGCCAATTGACGCTCTCCGTACAGCGTTCAAGGATCGAATTGCATCAGTAAGAGGTTTTGCGGCTGAGATTCCCGCCTCGGTATCATGGGCTACCTCAGCTCCGGCACACAAGACGGTCAAGCAATTGGCTACGTCATTCCGCAATGTGGCCACTCCTATGAAGATGGACATACATATCAAGCAAGAACAAGAGAAAGTTGCTCGAGAACAGGCAAAGCTCGAACAGACTCTTGCTGGTGGCATCAATGAAAAATCCCTCGAAGACGCTCTCAAGGAAGTTCAAGATGGTCCAGTAAAGGACCTCGTACAAGCACTTCTCACGTCTGTACGGGATCAAAGGAACCAACTCGAGTCTCTAGGAGCAGTGCTGGTTCATCAACAAGACCAAGAATTGAAAAGACTCGATCTTGTTGGAGACCTGGGTTCAAGCTTGAGGATGCTCATATCCAAAGTTGGGGACTGCCCCAAACAGCATATGGAATCCCAGTATTCCACCTTGTGGGATCTGGCTGCAGCTGGTGAATCCTTGGCAGAAGAAGCTAGCATCGGGGTTTCTAATCTTGGCGTAAAGCTCACCAAGGGTACCAGAGATTTCTTGCAGTTGACGGCAGCCTACAAGAAGACCACGTCTAACTTGCAAGATAGGGTGGCGACTCTAGGAAGCCAAGTGGAGAGACCAGCGAGGAGGTGCACCAGCAACTCTGATGTCCGGTATGTCGTCTACCTCTTTGGGAACACGTTTTGACCAGACCAAGGATGCAGAAATCAATTCTCATCTGAAGAGTCTTCAGATTATTGTGGACGACATTACTTCCGATGTTGCTTCGCTAAATCGTCGACAATTCGACGGAGATGTGGTTTCCAAGATCTCCGACTTGGAAGAAAATTGCAGCGACATTCGTCGCAGGATGACGGGCCTTAATACTTATGAGTTCAATGGTTACAACATTGGATCCGAAGAAGATGTTCTGATGGTTTTGGGAGAAGACATCAAGAACGTGTCTACGGCTTGTTATGCAGATGTACTCACTCTAATCTGCTGTATCCAAGACGAATTCGCCAACGGAAAGGCATATGCAGACCAAAACAATAACGAAGTTTTATTTTAAAGGCTACACCTCGTCAGACGATCTGCTGAACGGTGCCGTGACGAACCCATATACCTCAGGCGCACAAGGGCGCCCACTTAGGATGGGCCTAGTGTAAGCCCCCCACCGGAGAAATTGAACAAACCTCCGGAGGGTGCTGTACGACTAACTATCTACGCTAGGCTAAATCGCCCGCTATTGCTATGGGAGTCCCACACCGGTGCATAGTTACCCTGATTGGGAAGGCTGCTCACATGCATGCTCATCCCTCATTGCTTTGTCCACAACTGGAAGCCAATTGGCCAGCCATGCTTTGATATCCCCTGGCCTTTTGGCCATCTGTTCCTCCAGGGGTCGTTTGAAGATGGTATCAAGAAGATGCTCTGGGAGCAGGTCCGCTTTTTCATACAGGAGCTCAACCTCTCGTTGGAGCTGTTTGTGTTTCTTGCGCCATTTCTGTTCCTGATCCCGGCCGTTCCTGGCGGCATTGCGGTCCTCCCAGAGATTCCACCACTGCTGGATCAGAACAGAAACCAGGTTGGTGACCCAGAGCTGCCCGGTCTTGGTGGTCTCCTGGGAGCCGACCCGATGCAGATATGCATCTTGATGCTTAGCCCAGTGCTTGGACAAACGTCCTCTCAGGAAGTTATCCCAACCAATGAGATTTTGAGTGTCAACAAGGTCCCTATACCGTTCTGGGTAATACCACGGGTGTAGGAACCGGTCTTCAAAGTGATATTGAAGCCCATCAAGAACAATTTCCAGGAGGAAGGGATCCGTGGAATCCTTACGCAACTTTGTGCTGATTGCTCGTTGCATGGTCCCTCACCACAAATCCACGTCAACATGCGGGCATCTGTAAACATGGGTCTCAGTCTCATGATCACCGCCGCAACGGGGACAGCGGTGATCATACTTGGGGTCGTCTCGGTGAATCCGTTTCCCAACTGGCAACAATTGAAATAGAAACTTCACAATTGTCGGTTTGTGGATCTCATGTCTATTTACAGCACGACCATGTGCCGTCCAATCAACCAAAGCTGGGGTGTCCTCATCCCAGTCAGGATTCAGTTTGACAATGTGGTCGAACAAGGGCTGGTCGTTCCTTAGATGCCGTAGAGTTCTGGGAAGCTTGTATGTGCATGTTTCTTTGGGAAGGTGCAGCTGGGCCAAGTTGGCTGGAAATCGGAGTACCTTGGAGTGGTCTTGTTTCATGTGACTGGTCATGTAACTGCCTGCCAGTTTGTCGGCTCTGCAGTTAAGTTGTGCCTTCAAAGGTAGGGTTTCGATGGCCTTGTGCTTATCCTGGTGTGATTTGATGTGCTCCATCTTGGGCACTGTGACGGCAGCCCGAAATGATTCCTCGATCTGCTGCAGGACATCCCAATCAGAGTCTAAGGAATCATTGGGGTACCAGCCCTCGTAATCCAGACAGCCAGCACACTTGTTGGTAACGGATTCATTGTCGCACAAATGTACATAATTCTTCATGCTGGTTCGGTCGTAGAACTCCAGCAATCTCCGCAGAAGTCAAGTAGGGGATATAATGCCATAAGCCTCTGCCCTGTAGGCTGTCGGAACCATACCAAAAACTGGACCAGAGCACCGAAGCACAATCTGACCGCGATTGTCTGCCAGAACCCAAGCAAAGCTCGCCTTACCGGCGTCAATGTCTGCAGCCCCATCGCTTGCCACCCAGAAGGAAAGGCAGCATATGCAGACAAGGCTCGTGCGTCACAGAGCATTCACTCAACGCCCTTGGAAGTGGATTTGTTAGCAGCTTTAGATCACTCAGCACCACTGTACATGTTTGCCAAGACAGAGACAAACAAGTGCGTGGTTGAACCAGAAGAGGGGTTTGGGTGGCGGATGAAGACTTTTAGTGCTTTCTCCACACGCCAAACTAATCCGGTTCGACAGGATATCATCAACAAGTGCCGCAAACGGGTGAAGACTTTGAAGGGTGCCATCGACAGTTCCAGTCTAGCCTCAGACCTGGCTCGGCAAACATTGAGTGAAGCTCTAAATCACGTGATTGACTGGCTTAACTTCTTTACCGAATGGCGCAATGAACTAGTCGATCAGTGTGACTATGAGCCCACTAGAGCATGGACATTCCTTGGTTTCCCACAAGGTCAGTCGCGGACTATCTGGTTGCTCCACACACGGTGGTGTCCGGGCTAAAATTATCTGGGCTCTTCTTCAAGTCCACATCCGAATGGAGGAACTCAAGGAAGCAAAGCACAAGGCACATCACATCACCACGACGGCTATGACGAACTTCATCATGAAAAATCGTGTCGACCTGTCTAAAGTGGTCGCTCTCGAGAAGTCGGTAGTGGACTTGACTAAAGGAACGAAATTGGTTGAAAAAGTCGTGGTTACTCTTTCGGCTGAACTGAAGACGTGGAAACAATCCTGTGGAAATCGTCTTGCTGCACTTGAGAAGAAGAAGTAGGAAGTAGGTAAGGTCGTCTTGGATTCCACACCACGCATTGTGGTTTCCAAGCGACCGGAGCCTGAACCTCCTCCACCGAAGGTGTTCTCCAAGCGACCGGATGTTCAGCCGCCTCCATCGATGCTTGTCGATAAAACTTGTCGATAAAATGGATACTCCTTTTGAGACCCCCGTTTCTAGTGAGGCGACATTCCCGGCTGAGCCTACCTTTACGGAGCCCCAGTCGCGTTCAACTCCTGCTGAAGCTTCGGCTGAAACTCCACCACATTTCCATGAACGTGTCAAAGTTGACAACAAGTCTCTGCGGGGAACAGTGGTAGGTTCCACCAGACCCACGTTGATTCCAGTTCCGGCATGGCTAATCTTGGATCCCGATAATCCAGATTGGCTTATGGCTGTTGATGGATGTCCTTCGATTCGGGTTGACAATCACATGCAGTTTTAAATTGGACAAAGCTGTTTGCTGTTGCACCAGAGGTCGTGGACAATATGGCCTCCTTGTTTCGAGATCCTGTGGTGTCCCCTGTCATGTTGTTAACGAACGTGCGTTTGACCCTCGGTCAGCTGACTCTCATTCAGCACAGTGGTGTCAAGCGTGTCTGGTCCACCCAACGCCCTCGAGGCCTTCCCGATGGTTGGACAACTACCCGCACAGATCTTGGTCATGAATCGTGTGGCGGTGTCACGGCTACGTCTTGCCCTGTGTACTACACAGGACATGGCGTCCGATCCGTCCAATTGTATTGGAACGTGACGTCAGTAATATTCTGTCGTTCGGTGCTCCCTGTACCGATCGGGCTCCTATCCCCGAGATTCTTTCATTTCGGGTTCCGGTGGTGCTGCCAGTGGCTGAAGACGCCGCTGGAGCTCCTGTTTACCACGGCCGTGGTCTGTTGCCGAGTCAACCCACAACTGCCACCTCTATCCTGACTCCTTCACGCTTCTGCAGACGAGGTTTCTGGTGTATTCAACAGATCACCTTTGGAGAGCTTTTACAAGCGTATGACATTGGCGAGGCACAGCCACACCCTTTCGATGAGAGCATCCCGCGTCACTTTGTTCCACTGGCGTGTTTGCGTACTGTTTTGGAGGTCAATCAGGATCTCTTGTGACCTCCGGTGGATGTGATTATGGGGGGGGGTCTTTTCCTTATTCGGGATGGCGCCCTGACGGTTGCTGTGATGATGACAGTGATGACAGTTCCTCCGATTGCTTGGTTCCGAAGCTTCGTCCAGGATCTGTGTCCTCCGATGACGACTCAGATTTCGATCTAGAGTCTGAAGACGACTCTGATTTCGAGGAAAAAACTCTACCATCCTTACATCAGTCGTCAGTCAAGGTCAAGGTGGATCAGAATGCGATCCGATTGGATGATCGAGAACGCAAAGCAGTCAAGAATGACGGTGCTGCAGTGCCTACCCACTTGTGGACAGAGCACTGTTTAGACGAAGGCCCCGCGAATCGGTCACAACCAGATGCCATGGACTTGATCATGAACTTCCTCCGCAAGAGAGCCATAAAGTGGTGGAAGTCACACTTGAGGAGGGACTTTGTAAAGTGGTTTGGTGACAAACACAAGCTCCCCTTCCGGCAGCATCGAGGAAATTACTTCCACAACTACGTCTTCCCACCACCGGAAGTCTTCAAGCGGACGTCCAAGCTGGTCAGACGAGATGGTACCAGGCTGGTTCACGTCAGGAATGAGTCGGGAGAGGTACAGGTGCACGAACTCCCCCGCTATCTGTGGAAAAGGGGAGGAAGGAAAGCATATTTCAAATGGCATGAAGACTGCTTCAGGAAGCAACACCAGTCCACTGAAAAGCGCATGGATCTTTTGGCGGCCAGAGACTGTCTAACGGCAGCAAGCTGGTGGGAATGGGACTTCGGTTCACGGCCTTTCTTTTGGCGGTGGCAGGATGAGGTTTTCCACCTCATTCGAGACGGACTTCTTGTCCACTTCCTTAGTGAAGCTCCCAGTTTCTGGGAATACCAGTAGCGAGAGAAGGACGAGAAGACAAGACGCTTGGTAGCTGAAAAGCTTCAAAAGGTGGTGGACAGGGGGTACATAGCAACTCAAAAGGACATCGTTTCTCTCATGACGTACTTTCACGTGCCAAAGGGAGAAGATGACATCCGATTGGTCTATGACGGGACCAAATGCCAACTGAATGCTTCAGTCTGGATTCTTTCTTCTTGCCCACAGTTGAAACACATCTCAGGGCGGTCGAAGATGGCACATACATGTGCGATGTTGATATTGGAGAGATGTTCCTGAATTTCATGATGCACCCTAGACTGAGGAAGTACTGCGGAGTGGACCTTTCCCCATATGACCTGCGAATACCCGCTGATTCGCACTATCAAGCCAGAGCAACCAGCAAGGTCATCTTGGCATGGAATCGGATTGCTATGGGTCTCACGTGGTCCCCATATCAAACCTGCTTGTGCATGCAGTATGCAGAAGAGATCATATGTGGCGACCCTAAGGACGAGTCTAACGTTTTCTACTGGGAGCAGGTCCGGTTGAACCTGCCCGGTATGAAAACATACTCCCCTTCTGTACCATGGGTCTCCAAGGTCCGACGAATAGACTCTCAGGACTCTCCTGAAGACGCAGGTTCAAAAGAAACAGACGAATCTAAATGGACTGGTGCGTGGAGGGTCGCAGCCGATCTCTTCACCTTTGTCGATGATTTAAGACCAACAGGGTGCTCAAAAAGGGAGGCTTGGAAAGCAGGACGGCGAGCTGCAAGTGTTCTTAACTGGCTGGGCATCCAGGATGCAGCCAGGAAGAGGAGAGACAGCAGACAAGATCCAGGTGCCTGGGCTGGGTGCGTCATCAACACCAAGTTTGGTGTGTTCACTCTTGTAAGCGATGACAAGTGGATCAAACTGAGGGCGCAAGTTGCAGCTTTGGACAAGATGATGAAGGACGACCCGACTAGACTCGATATGAAGAAACTCATGCAGATAAGAGGTTTTCTTAACTACGTGACCCAGACGTACAAGTCACTTGTGTCGTGTCTCACCGGGATGCATCTGACGATAGATGGATGGAGACCAAATCGGGACCAGAAGGGGTGGAGATCTGATTCTAAGCGTCCAGAAACAGATGACACGTACCCAGAGGCTCCTTCTCACGTCCCTACAATGCCCAGGCTAAGTCACGACATCAGAACATTGAAGATTCTGTGCTCCTCCTCCAAGCCCCCTCATCGATGAGTGCGGCCCTCTTGCACAGCAGCTGTGTTCTACGGGTTCGGTGACGCATCAGGAGCTGGGTTCGGAGGAACGTTGATGAAGGCAGGGTCGGACCAAGTGGACTATGAGTACGGGCAGTGGCTTAAGACGGCTACTGAGAAACTGTCATCGAACTGGAGATAACTAGCCAATCTGGTCTCGTTCCTCGAGCGTCGAGCAGAGACTGGAGAGTTGGCAGACAGCGAAGTCTTCTTGTTCACGGACAATTCCACGGCAGAGGGTGCCTTCTGGAAAGGAACCTCAAAGAGTCGTCTGTTAATGAAGCTCGTTCTGCGACTACGCCTCTTGGAACTAAGAAAGGGCCTCACACTGCACATTGTGCATGTCAGTGGAAAGCGCATGATTGCTCAAGGCACGGACGGCATCTCACGAGGCGAACATCACACTGGTGTGATGAGAGGGATACCCATGTTGAATTACGTTCCGTTACACCGAACGTGTATGGAACGGTCGCTCGGTCTGTCTGAATGGGTCCAGGACATCCTCAGCAAAACTAGGCCATGGTTTCTTAACGAAAACGACTGGTTCAAGAAGATCGATCACGACGGCCCAGTGGTCTGGACACCTGCTCCAGCGGCGGTGGATTTGGTAGCTGAAAGGCTGCGGTCGTGCAGACACATGCGCCCAAACTCTCTCCACATTGTGATCGTGCCACGCCTCATGACTGGGAGATGGAGGAAGCAAATGGGAAAAGCTTCCGACCGATACTTCAAGCTTACCTGCTCCGCGTGGTGGTCTCTGGAGGACCAGTACGAGCCCCTGCTAATGTTTCTTTGCCTGCCTTATCTCACTCATTCACCAAGGTTTGAGGAACGAAGGAGTTTGGTTGACAGATTGCGAGGGGCTAAGCCCCTACTTGCCGGAAGTGGATCACGACGACACAAGGAATCTTCTGCGCAAACTATTCAGCGACACGTGGAAACTTCGAGCCGTGTAAGAACCCGTGGTGTGGCAGCTGCTTCACCCCCTTGGGAGACACTCCGTTCCCTATCAAGGTGGTCCTCGATGACGACGGAAACAAGATCATGAAGGACAAGGATGGTGATAGGTTTTTGGTTGGACGCAACGGCGATCACATGTTGACCACTTATCAGTGTGAAGTGTGCCATTACAGAAACCTCATCGGTTCCGATCCTACTTTCTCTGTGAAAGACGCGAAGCTGTTGGAGTTCATGAGGCGAGCTAGCCTTGACGCCTTCTGGTCCCGAGAGACATCTACTGTCCGAGCAAACGTGTCCTTGTTGAAGCGAATCCAAGCCACGGAAGACAAGTTCGGTTTGGAAGGAGGAATTCTAGGCCCTCTGGGTCCCTTCCCGTTGAGAGACGTCATGGGCATGGGAGCTGCAGTAGCAATGCTTGACAAGTCAATGGACGAGGGAAGATACGACGACCAAGTGCAATGGGCCACCATAAGACGAATCAGGAGAGCAATCACTAATTACAGTCAAGCCGGTATGTCTGCTTTGGAAGAGGCGATGGGCATTAATTTGAAGAACAAGACCTGGATATCGTCAGCACCGATTCACGGCATGTGTTTTGGGCGGTTTGCCATCGGATTGCACCGTCGGGTGGGGGAGGTCATCAAGCGAGATGAGCCCATTACCATCGAGAAGATGTTGGAAATCGAGTCCATCCTGGACGAAGAATGGTGGGAAGAGGATGCAAAACCTGCCCATCTAAAGGACTTGGATGCCCTTCGAAACATTGCCCTAGCTGGAACCTGGTTCATGTGTGGCTTCTGTGCAGCGTTGTACGGTGAAGAGCACTTAATCTTGGAGTTCATTGGGACCTACAAGAGCATGGGTTTCATGGATGCCAATGGACCCTTGGCGTTGACTTATGCTCCCCACTTCGAGCTGGTGATAGCTGGTCGCACCAAGAACAACACGGTGGTGGGAGACAAGATTCGAATACCCGTTGCCGAAAGAACGTCAGGAACTGGGTTGGTGCCTGGAAAGTGGGTGCAACGATATTGCAATCACTTGGCCCAGGTGGACCACCAGAATGGCGGGTTCCTGTTCCAAATGAGACTCACCACACCAGTGCTTGGAGAATTCGAGGAGATGTTCCACTTGACTCTGGAAAAGGTGTTTGCCCGCAAGCTCCACACTGGAAACGAAAAACTCTGCCAAACAATGAATTTGCTCTGTAGTTTCACTCTACAGAAGGGGCAGAGTGAACTCC